TGCCTAAAGCACATCTCACCTCTGGAGCCCAGAAGCTGTGTGGCTTTGGGCATTATTCTTAACCTCTCTGGCCTCATTGTTTCCATCTTTCAAATGATATAGTAGTAATTAACTTATGCAGGTTTAAAGTATTAAACACACATTAAATGCACTGAAAGTACTTGTGGTAGTGCCTGCCACGTCATAAAGGCCCTGCCGTGCTCAGTAGTAGTACTGTCACTGCTTCTGTGTTGCCCTGGCGAGCACACAGCATGCTGTCTGTAAACAGAAATCATGCATGAGAAGAACTGTATGCGCTGAAACACATAAAGTGCTTAGCACAAGACCTGACACATGGTGAATGCTCAATTTGCTTATTATTATTATCTTAGAATGCCCTTGTACCCAACAAGAAATACTCCACTGCAAGCCATAGACTGAGAAGACCCAGAGGCCATCCAGTCCCTTTGTCTATACCAGGGGTCCCTGAGGAGGGAGCTCTGCTTGTCCCCTAGGGCTGTCACTCCAGCATCACATCCACAACCTTGAGTCCAGCAAATAGCCAAGAGCTTTAAACATGGAGTGGTCCCACTGCAAGAAAACTCACTCTGCAAAGCCAAACATTAACAAAAAAGCAGAACGATTTATAGTATGTGCAACGGAATCTGTAGCAACAGAACCTATATCATCAGGTCATATTTTTACGTAACAATCAATCCACCATTCCCTTTGGTTTCATGGGTCACTAACAGTAGCTCATGTGGCCCCATTAAAACAAAATCCATCCCACTTAAAAGGACGCAGAGAAATGATAAAATGAGATCAAGGCCTCTGTGCAAACACCTCATGAATGGACACACCTAGGCATGATCATTGGTGACTCTCAGACAGACTTGAGCCTCCTGACAGAACACAGAACCACATATGAATTCTTGTTCCCCAAAAGAAAACAAAAGCAAAACTACCCAATCTAGGTCCAAGCAATTTGCAAGATTTACCTAATTATAGAGAATGGAAAGAATAATGAAAAGATTGAATGCTAGTAAATGGGTCCAATCAATGAAATTCCAGTTGTGGGAAATTCTACACGACCCATGACCTGGTTTCCTTAAATAAATAGCCAGAGAAAAATGAAGAGGCCGAAAGAATCTTCAGGATGAAAAGGGACTTAACAGGCTTGCTAGCCAACTTCAATGTATGGCTTTGTCTGAATGTTGGATAAAACAAACTGGAAATAAAGGTATTTTATATTTGTGAGACAATTAGAAGTTTGAATATTGAGTAGATATTTAATGATATTATGGAACTGTTGGATGGTTTAGTGGTAATGTTAAAAAAAGGAGTTCTTATCTTTGAACAGAGAAATGTATTGAAACATTTATGGCTGAACTGATCTGAAATCTTATAAGTTTTTTTGTTATTGTTTTTTTTTTTTTTCTTTTTGGTACCAGGAGTTGAACACAGGACCTTGCGTTTGCCAGGCAGATGTAATGCTGCTGAGCTACACACCCAGCCCTGGTATAAGTTTTTATCTTTTTATTTTGTGTACTAGGGATCAAACTCAGGACACTGCGCTTGCGAGGCAGGCGGAGGCACCACTGAGGTAAATCCCCAGCCTCCTGGTGTAAATTTTTAAATCGAGAAGGAAGGATGAGGTGGAGTATGGCTTGGGTCAGGCTGGCCAGATTGGGGGCGCTGGGTGACAGATACAGGGAGTTGAGCATACTATTCTAATCTGCCACTATTCTAGTCAAACTCTCCATAGTAAAGCCTTCACAGAGAGGCAGTTCAGAGTTCAGTTTGACCAGCTGAATGTGGACCCTGCCTTCTGCAGCCCCTAGAGCCATGTGGTGGGGTTTTTTTGTTTGTTTGTTTTATCCTCAGTTCTGGCCTGGCCTCTGAGTCTTTCCCTGGGAGGTGAGGTGAACCTTGTCTCTGGTCAAGAAGGGAAGCTTCCGAGGGCAGAAGCACCGGCCTCTGACCCAGCACAATCGGAGACTGGCAGGTGACTGTAACTGCAAAGGTAGAATTCTCTGATACACAGGAAAAATCTAATCTCAATACTTAGATCAGTTAACAGGCAGCTCTTTTTCAGAAAGATTGATTTAAAATATAGCAAAAACTGTTTTAAATATGATCCAACTTACCAACGTCGACAACTCTTTAAGATTCCACCTAAAGCATGAGCCTTGTGGGAAGGCCTGGCTGGCCCGTAAGATTTTTCTGGCAGTTAACACTTGAAAGCTGTAGAAGCTCTGACCCACACCAGACCCCCAGGGAGTAGAAGCAATGACAAACTCCTAGCACCTTCTCAAGGCGATTCCTGAATTTTCATGTGCCCGTCTTCCTTCTCCTACCTTTGTCATGCAACAGATGGCAGATCCTAAAGAATTCGGTCCGTTCCCAGGAAAATGTGTGCTGCCACGTGAGATTTCCTGGGTAGACTGGTACCCCCTGAGGGGCCTTGCCTGATCCAGGTGGCGAGGCAGCCTCCCTCATCTGCACCTCCCTTGCACAGAAGCCCACAAGGAGAAGTCTCGCTGGGGCCCTTGGGGCCACCCAGCCGTGCGACTGGACACATATACTTTGTAAGCACTGGTTTCCAACAGATAAATGTAATCAAGGTTTATATGCTCAGAGAAGCCAACAGGATGGGATTGTTTCACTCGAAAGATCAGAAGAAAATTGTAACTAATGTTGTGGAAAATTACTTTGATATTGCTTTCTTGGTACCGAATCACAATTAGGCTGCTGTGAGAAGTACAGGGAAAGAATAAATGAATAGTAACAAATCAACACAAACAGCTTGTGTCAGGAGTACTTTGCTCAGGGAAAGTAACGTAAGCATTACTTAAAGTTTTACGACTGTGTTTGGTGTGATTTACAAAGAACATCCAGGATGCCCATCCTATGGCACGTGGCACATGGTGAGGATGGCCCACCAGCTTTCACCAGCAGCAGTACATGGCTCAAGATCCATGCGTGCTGCTCACCTGCTTGGCCTTGCTTCGTGCCATCCTACAGGCACTGTCAGCCCGAGGCTCCGATCTGTCTGAGGGCACCAGGACAACCCAATGTCCTTTTCCTCCGCCCACCTATAATCCATGTACCTGGCACCTGGGCAGCTATGCAAGCTCGAGTTAGAAGCTCTGCCTGCAAAGCAAGTGCTGCTTTGCCAGCAGGCTGCAGCATGGCAGAGCACATATTGCGGCCACCGCAGCACCATCTCCCCCAGGACTGTACGACCTGTCCCAGAAGTGCCCACACACCTGTCCACCACAGTGTCTTCTCTCCCTGGCTGTTCCCCCACAGAATTCAGGACAGAGGACACCTGAAACCTCTGTCCGTGTGAGCACCTGCAACCGAACACACCAGGACACACCCTAAGGATGCAGGACACCCTTTATCCCAAGCAGCTCTTGAGCGTCCTTTCCCCGAGTTTGCTCTGCACGGATGACATGCAGCCACAGGGACCGGTTCTCGTTCTGCCCTGCTGGTGCTGTCCAGTGGAATCCTGCCAGGATGACGCAGTGTTGTCCACTATTTTAGGGCTCCTGAGAGTCTGCAAAGTCCCCAGAGGAGCCAGCTTGGTCACACACACTTGCTTCCTCACAAGCCAAGGAGCACACCAACTTTTTCAACAGCCACCAGCTATGGGGTCAGGCAGGAGATGCATCGGCACTGGGCTCACCCACTGTCTGCTAGGCCCGTTGCTGTGGCTGCTTCCTGCTCATTCTCTGATGAAAGGTGCCACTCTTAGGCCTCCCACACATGGGGCCTCTGGAAGCAGCTTCCAGACCCAGGTGGACTTTGACCTCCTTGTGGTCTTTCTCCCTCCCTCCCGGTGCCTGCGTCCTTCAGTCTGGCTCAGGGCCACACCTCATGGGTTATCTCTGTTTGCAGAAGCAAAACAATTCAGGCCTGAGGGTTGCAGAGAAAGGCATAGCTCTTCGCTGAGAGCCTGAGACAGGAGGCTGAGGATGGGGCTGGGGAGGATGCCAAGGGGCTGCAGCATGAGAGCAGGTGTTCCTAGGCCATGCACTCTCATCCCCTGCTACAGGAGACAGGCAGCGCAGCACGAAAAGTTGTCTGCCTAAGTATCCCCCAGTGACTTTCACCCCATCCCTGGCTCAGAGTGCTGAGCGAGTAACTGCGTGTACATGCAAGTGTCCCTCGGGAGGAGGGGTATCTGTGGGGTGCAAGTGTATCTACATCCTAGAGAATGTTGACTTAGGAGGGGTTTTCAGGGACCCTCCTTTTACAGAGGTCACTGCTGAGACAGACTGGTGCTTGGACCTGGACACCTGCTTTTCTCTCAGTCCAAAGCAGAGCACTCCCTGGCCCTGGCTCCATGCTTACGACTTCCGGCCCTCCCCAGTCCAGCGGTGGATGCCTTGCACAGCTCCCTTTTCCATTCTGCTTGCTTGAGATTCCAGAATCACCTTCCTGTTCTTACCTCACAGCCATCCGCCTGTCCCTGCCAGATCCTGGTGACCAACGGAGGATGCTCTTCTTCTCCAGTGGGTCATAAGGCATAGGGGGAATGGGGGGCAACAGGGGTGGATCCTGGCTGCATAAAGCCAGTAAGTGGCCCAAGCCATTCTGTCCAAGCCACAGAGGCCAGATTTAAAGGCCTCCTATGGCTCCTAGAGCAGGGAAACTGAATCACATTTGGAGTTCACTCTCTGATGTCCTAGTGTAGAAAAGGCCCCAAGGGGTGGCAGAAATTCCCTAAATCTGAATTTCACCAAAGGCAACAAGTGACAAAATCTCAACATCATCCCCAAGTGGGGCCTTCCTGCCGCTATGGAGCACAGACGCCAGGGCCCTGAGGCTGACAGTTGGACACCAGACAGAACATTTCTACACTGACACCAATGCCTGCCAGGGGGAGGCCAGGACCCCTCCTCTGCCTTCTGGGGCTCTCATCCCCCAGGCTCAGTATATCAGAGTGGCCATGGAGGTCACTCTGGCAGGTAAGCAGGGAGCCAGCGACAGCAGTAGCAAGTGCAAGGGCTCACCTGGCACCTGTTGGGGGTCGAGCTCTGTGGGGTCCTGTAGGCTGATGAAGAGGAGGAGGCCTGCAGCTCCAAACAGCAAGATGGACGAGAACATGCAGACCAGCCGCATTGTTCCAGGTAGCAGGGTCACCCAGGGTGCACTCCAAGGTTACCTCTCTGGTGTGAGAGGTGCGTTCTTCCTTCATTGTCCACACCAGACATCCATCAGGGCGTGACCTACAGACAAGAGAGGGCAAAGAATCATTTCCAAGTTGTAGGGTTTCCAGATGTAGGTCCAAGTCACTGCAGTAACCAAGTATAAAATCCTTGGGTCCCTCACCACGTCCTGGGGACTGCTCAGGTGCATACCCTTCCATCTTCCAAGCCTAGGGAGGCTGGAGGAAGTCCTGTTGCCACCTGTGGCCAGGACATTGACCTCCTGCCAGGGTCTCCTGTGTCTGCCCTCCCTGCAAAATCATGCAGACACATTTTCTGGAAGCTGCGGAAGTGACTTGAGATCCACAGTTGGTGACCAATTTATACCTCCCTGCTCCCTGAGCCTCCGAAGGAGTGTGTGTGTTTCCTGTGCAGAGGTTAGGCACCAGGGAAATATAGGTCCTGGGAACTAACTAGTCGGGTGGACAGATCTGCCTCCACCCTGGATCCCCTCCACACGATGCTGGAAGTGAGGGCTTTGAGAAGGAGCCTTTCAGAACCAGGGGATGTTCAAGAGCAATCGGGTTCCTCCCATACCAGGCAGACCTGTCCTCACTAACTGACCGACAGACGGGCAGGAGGGATTCAAGTCCCACTGCAGAGCCACACCGGCGGGAGCAGAAGCTCTGGCCAGACCTTGGTTGTTCCAGTGCTCGAGCCCCTTGGCCTGGGCAGTCATACCTGCAGTTTTCAGATCCCAGGCTCAAAGGCTCAAAGGTTCAGAAGCTGAATACTAACACCTCCTGTCCTTGCTGTTCTGGCCCCAGCAGACCCAGAGCAAGTCCATGTGATTTGTCCCTCACTCCGAAGGGCAGAAGAAATGCCCAATGCCCTAAAATACCAATGAGGGACTCCCACCTGGGCTAGGCTATGGACCAAGGGAGGGGCATCTGAAGGCCATCTGCCCACAGGAAGTACATCAATTCCTGCAGTGGGCTGGAGACGGGTAGGATGGGTGCTGAGGAGTAGCAGGTATCTATCTCAGGGACCTCCTTCTTGAAGCAAGTCCTTCTGTCCCTGGCCCTTCACCTGGCTCTACTGGCCTAAACCTAGGAATACTATCTCATTTCCACCCCACTGCCACCCTAGCACAGGGAAATGCCCCAAGGGATGCTGAGGCCACCAGGGCAGCTCCCAGCCTCTAAGATTTCATTAGGCCGGTCTGGTCCAAAGCCAGATGTACAGCTCAGTGCAAAGTCATTTCCCTGCCAAGGCCCTGAGTCACAGAGGAAGCAGCCCCCCCCCCCCCCGCGGTTCCTCACACCCCACATGACGT